AGCATAATCCAAAAATTGTAGATTTGTATATGAGAAAACCTTTGATAATTCTACTGAACTCATCCTTTAGAGAGAACCTGGGTTCTTTCGGGCTGCTCTGTACAAGAACACTTCAAAGAGCTTATCTAAGTGAACCAAAGATATACATTTAGTAGATTATTTTAAACCATAATAAGCCCCTGTGTGGACACTATTTTACAGAATTCAAGCAGATTTAATCCATGTATCTTAATTTACTTTTCAGTCTAATTAGATTGAATTTAATGAAAGTCACTTGAATTATGAATGAGGGTGCTGAGATATTTAATGTAGTTTAGCTTATCCACATAATTTTTTTTTTCTATGTCCTGTTACAGATAGGCACTCTTAAATGTTTACTTCTACATGTAAGAGGACAATCTACTCTGTGCGGTAAGAATAGGCTTTTTTGAGCCATGACTGTATATTCCAACTGCTCAGAGGTACCATGCGATTTTCTTAGTCTGCTTAGTCTATGTAAGAGCAACAAAATATTCAATAGATACTTACTGTTTGCAGGACGTGTCGCACTGCAGTGGAAAAAGGAAAGATCCAAGATTTTGTGTGTGCGTGTGCACAAAGTGAAAATAAAAAATATTTTATCTTAACTCATCTGTAGCTATAGCTTCCCTAATAACGTTATGTAAAGACGGGGAATCAGGAGGCAGTGGAGGTGTTACAGGAGAAGTCTATAGTTACGCACTTGCAGAAAATGTTATTCTGGCCTTGGACAGGATACAACTTTCTGTGTTTATCTTAACCGTAGAGGTTACATCATGCTACCACAGCTTTTGGGGAGGGCATCTTGGGTTTCCCCGGCTTATCTCAAGTGTCCCAGCTCATGTGTCTGTGACTCATATTCGCAGCTGAGTTGTGTTTTCTGAGTGAATATTGGTTATTTATACTCTTCATGCTTTTGTTTCATGCTGTTCCATTTCAAGCTCTTGAGAATTTTGCCATGGATTTGACAAGACCTGAGCAGACCTTGAAGTTTCCAGCTCCAGCTACAAAAAGTCTCATTATTTTAGTCGCTTGGTATTTTCTGCTTTGTAGGCTCAATAGTTGTTAGTAGTTGAATCCAGCATTTAGTTACTGCTTGTCTCTGTGTGATGCCAGCTCAGCCTTGCATTTTGCTAAGATACGTATTACTGTGTTGTATTTCATTGAAATTTTTTTACTGTGCTTGGAGCAACACAAATCCTATTTAGATGAGATTAGAAGTGGATTACCTTTTTCTGTTTTCCTCTGCAGTTGACAAAATCCTGCAGTCACGCTCCTGGCTGTGTTCTCTCTGCCTTATCAGTTCAAAGTTTAAGCGTTCCCAAATATTCTGTGAAAACCCTTTTACAGTCCTCTGTATGTCCTCTCAGGATTCAGAGTCCAGGAATGAAATATGTGTGAAGTGCCTCCTGGGTTTTGGGAGGAGGTAGAAATTGGTTCAAATTGGCAAAATGTGCACGTCTGACAACATGAGGACTTAAATTTTTTTTATTTTTTTTAATTTAAAAAGAGAAATTAAGAGCATATTGAACCACTTTCACTAATTGGCCAAGCTAGTGAAATATGTATATATGCATATAGATACATATGCCATATAAAACCCTGACTCTTGGAAATATTTTCCCTCTATGACAAACGTAACCATTTGTTAGTAATTTTTACGTAGGTTGGAGCTATGCTAAATAGTGCTCCCGAGGCTGGGAGAGTCAAGGGGAAGGGGAGAGAAGTGGGTTTTATTGTCACGAAAAGATCATCTCTGGCTGGATTTTTGCCCTTCCATTTGCTATTCCTGCAAGTCACCTATGAAAAAGAAAGTAACACCACGAGATAAATCAAGCAGAAGATAAAACCCTTTCGTTCCCACAAGGGTTCAAGGGTTTTTTTGTGGGTTTTTTTTTTTTTTTTAATGCTTAATGCTATAGAACGTGTAAGAACGGGGTGTTGGCTAGAACAAATAAATGCTTTATGAACCCTGGTATATTTTCTCTCGGAGAGGTGTTGTGGAAAAAAGTTATGAAGACTCTCTAACTATGGGAAAATGATAGAAAAGGTTAAAAAAAGATGATGAGAAGAGGAATTCGTACAGATCAGGTGTGGTGGGCAGAGCAGTGAGGATAAAAAATTAAATTTTAGACTGCAAGTTATGCTAAATTAAGCACAGATTCCACAAACAAAACTGATTTTTTGACTTTCTGTGGACTTATTTACATTAGGGTAAAAGTTATGTGCTTTTTTAGAAACTTCCTAGAAGTAAACTTTCAAAAATAGCACTGCGTGCATACACTGACGTACCACGTAATATTTAACAAATATAATGAATATAAAAGCACCTGGAACAGTAGAAAAACTTCTGGCTTGTATATATATGCAAGTGTGTCAGCTTTTTGTGGTTCAGTCTGTGCAGATTTTGTGTTGGTTTGCTTTTTCATTACAGCTGCAAATTAAATGCTGTCCAAATAATCATAATTAGCCCATTAGACTTTGCCTGCCTTCAGCTAAATTGAGAATTTACTTTCCCTGGTACTCACAAAATTTTCCTCTTTTAATAGGATAACAAATAATGTTTGAGATACAATGTAAGGAATATAATATTGCCAATTTTAAAGCAGGACGGTCTTTGCTTGATGATGCATGATTTAAAATCCCTAAATTCGCAATTAGACAGTAATTGCAGTGTATCTCATTAATGACATTTTGTATTACTCCACCTTTTGCATTTTATCAGACGTCAGGAAGAATCTCGGGGGATTGACCACAGCTATTCTGCCTTATTACGAGGTCCTAATGTCGTTATAATTTCAGAAGTGCATCAGTTAATGAGGACATTGTCCTTGAATTAAAGTTCCTTCCACGTGCGGTTCTTTGACTGTCGGTATGTCTCTTTAATGACAATCATAGTTACTGTAATAAAAGGTAGCCAAAGTCGTGTGCACCTACTATTTAGTAGTAAAGTTTTGACTGCTGAAGTACCAATTAGCTGCACAGATAACAGCGAACAAAAATCCCAGACAGTGGTTGTGTGAAGTATTGTGTTGTGTGAGTATTTCCAACGACAGAAAAGCGTACAGCCACAGAGAAATGTCAGCTGAAGCTCCGATGCATAGGATCCTGTAAAAACTGAGGGCAACAACGGGCAGAGGAAATTCCGGGACATAGAACCTCACCCCATATAAAATTTCATATTCTAATTGTTTGCCTACTTCCAGGGGGAGATAGGGATTTTATTTCCCATTTTAAATCTGTTTTTAAGTGCAGCTCTGACAGTGGAGTCACTGCCAGATATCTGTAGCTGCTAGAAGCAGCTCATAGCCATTTTTTTTTCATTTTTCAAGCCTTTATGTCAGTTCTCCAGATGTCCCTGTAAGGAAGTATTAACAATCTCATGGTACAGGTGAAGAGGTGGAAACAGTGACTTGCCCGAGATCACTTAAGTTGGTAGGGAACTAAGATCAGAAATGATGAGTTCTGGATTTCTTGTCTACATTTTCGAGCGTTTTCTCTGATTCATAATAGATTTCGTCCTGCTTTTACCAAGGAAGAAGCCAAAGAAGCTTTCTTGCTTTTGGAGGAAAACGACTTGATTCTTTTCTGCTTTGTCAGATCACCTCTCAGCCCTTCGTCCTTGCTGAGCAGCTTATGACTAATAACAGAAAACTCTTCCCATTTTTCTTCTGCTGCGAATTAGCACAACGTGTTGCGCTGTGCACAGAATTACGTAGGAAAGCTCTCTCAAAGTCTGCAGCCCCCGACCCTGTCAGATTTGCACCAGTTATATAAAAGCCTTTGGATTTTCACATGCACCTGTGTTTCCAGAGCGCTCTGACACGCGGTGCGGGTTGCAGTGAAGTTTTTCTCCGAGTTAGCAGATGTGTTCAAACGCTTTGTGGTTCTCGGTGGACGGAGGACCTTGACATATTTGTGATAGGTTTTTCCCCCAAATCCTTGGGATGGATTTGATTGCCTTGTTACATTTCAGATAAATGAATTCTCCTTTGTTACGTTGCAAATGCAATCATTTCAGGAAAGCTTTAATTTAGTTGACAAAAGTGAAGTGACTTGTTTATTCTAAATTTATTCACACACATGTCTAAGAAACAAGAAGCAAGGCTTGAAAGTGCCAATTTCATACTTTTCTCTGTTAATACAGAGAATGTGCTTGATTTACAATCTGAATACTCTGCTGCTTATGTCATTGTGTTCCATTTATTATACTGGTTTTCAATATTGTTTTTTGATGTGCAATTTCCTTGAAAAAAAAGATTCTAACTAAGGTCTGTATGCCTGTACAGCAAATTCGAGCCTCCTTGAGAAGAACTTGTTTGTAATCAACTGAAGTCCAAAGACTTCAGAAGTACTTCATAGATTCTTTGCATCCCTTAAGTGTTAACTAAACGTTAGCAGGAGTAGCCTGGGGTCAGCTATTGGTGCCTTTTAATGAGTTTGGTTTTAATCTTAATATCTGTATTAGAAATATTTGTTTCTTGTTAGGTAGCTGCAGAATGTTTCATTCATCTAGCAGTTGCCTACAGCTGCGTATAGAAGAGGTAAGGAACTTAGAGGCATTTGTTTCCAGCTAAAATAAATACTTGCTTTCAAAATGTTTTTATTAAAAATATCCATGACAGCTTTGGAATATCTTCATCCTTGTTTTTTTATTCAGTCTTTCACATCATTAATTTACAAGTTAATGAAAAGGTTATGATCACAATAAAACAACACGGAGCGATAAATTACTAAGTCTGTAAAAATAGATGGCACTATTTAGATACCAGGTGAGATAACATTGTATTGTGTTCTGCAAAAAGGTGTAAGAACAGGGGACCCACCTGGGGTTTAAGCTTCAGGTCTCTAAAGGTCTGCGTTAAGCCAGTTTCTGTGTGCCCAGGTTACGTAAACTCAGATCGCTAGACCTGGGTGAAACAGAGCTTGCTGCTTCTTGACCGTAAAGTGCCCCTCAGCGCTCTGCAGAGTGGGAGATACAGCTTATTGAAGTGTTAGATTTCCTGCTAATGCAAGGAATAATAACAACATTTTCTCTTCAGTTATAAAGATAAATACCGGCAAAACCCATTACTGTAGCCAGGGATGTTGTGTAAAACAGAAGTGTTTAATACATAATTTTAATTTTGAAGATTTTCCCTGTTTATAGAGGCAAAAGTGACTTGTTCTCGCTTCACTTTTGCCTTTAAGCAGTACTGGGAATGGGATTCGGTGGTCTGTCCATCACAATATCTGGTCAAGGCTTTTATACTGACCTCTTACTTTGTTTGCTTAGCATTTCTCATTATTTTTGTGGCTGCAGTGCTTTCCTAGGATACCAGAAATTTCTCTGATGGAAGCACTCTATCGATGAAAAGGTAACACCATTTAGGTATCTCTTTAAATTTAAACCGTGCTGTGTTTTGCATAGGAAAAATTCAGGTGGTTTCATTATATAGTAAGTAAATCTTTCATAGCCTTTGAACATTCCTTCAGTTCAGCCTGTCCCATAAGAGTCCTTCCACAAGTCCTTCCTCTGCATCGTGTTTCCAAAAACATGCAGCTCGTCTTGAGCCAATTTCCAGAGTCTTGGACACTTTGCTGAGAACATTCTGTATCTGGGCAGTTCCTATTTACCTGGGATACCAGTGACTTTGAGTTATCAAGTTACTTGACAATTATTCACTCATTAGCCAGATATTTCAAAATCCTTAAGTTTTTCAAACAAATTTTTGGTTATAGTGCCACCCCGTAAATCAAAAAAGTAACAGCATCGATGTTAAACAAACCCCCATAAATACTCTTCATTTAAAATTCTTGGCTTTCCATAAAGATGGACCATAATGCTGTTAAAGAAATTGAAAGCAGAACTTTCAAAGTCGGGAAAATTTGTCTAATCCCCCAAAATTGTTAATCTGATACTTTTAGCAGTGATAGTCATAGGTGACCAAGAGAAACTACATCCTATTAAAGAAATTTTGGGACCGTTCACTGTTGTTACCACTGAGTGAGTAAAAACTTGGAAATGCGTAGGAGATTAGCAGCTTATTACTCATTTTTGTTGGTGCTTTTGAGGTCTACAATAGATTTTATCTAATTAAATTTTGAAGCAGAATCATCTTCCCTTTCATTTTCTTTTAAAATATACTCAGTCATCGTGATATTAAAAGTGGTTTAGCGTTCCAAGTTGCTTGGCATGCTTAGTAAATCAACTTTATGAAGGTTTTATCGCACTTCTTAAAAAAAATTGTTCTTTTCTTGGTGGTCTTGGTCCCGGTCTTTGTGGCAGGTGTGCTAAGAAGTAGAAGAACTTGTGTGTTGTCCCTGGGATGCTGATGGTATACAACTTCAGATGCTTGTCCAAAAGTGACCTGCTGAAGAGAGATGGAGTGTGTGTGTCGTGAGTGGAAGGGGCATGACAGAGGACCTGGAGCACTGCATCCACACTAAATTTCTGGGCCTGGCTAAACTAGCTCGGTGGCCAAAATCTGCTAGTACTTCAGCATGAAGCAGCTGCGCCCAGAGAAAGATCGAGGCCAAAAACATTTACAATATTGGATAAGCATGAGAAATTTTTGGTCTGTAAAGCTCAGAGCTGTCTCTTTATTAGCACGTAATTTAACATGATTTGTATCCTTAATATCACACAGACTGAATCCTCTCTCACCGTTTGGTTTGTTAGGTCGGGTTCATTACTTTTGTTTTCCTTGGATGGAAACCTTCCCCAGTTATCAACCAGTGAACAAACATATTTAGACATAAGACTGAGTATTGTTTGTCCTTTCCTTTCAATCTGAAGTCTAATTTCCAGCTGCAGTAAAAACAATAAAACTGATGTTTGCTTTTCCTTTTTTTTCCCTCCAGTGATAAATATGATGTATTTTGAATTTTATCTATCTAAAATATTCCATTGGAAGCTTTTGAAAGATAGCGTTGCTTTTACTGCCCAACTTGCCCTGGGTCAAGTGGTTTAAGCTGTATGTATGAACAGAAACTTTTGCTGTTTATAGTAAGTACATCCATTGCTGATGTGCTTTTGTAACGTAGTTTAGAACTAAGTGTAATTTCTCAGATTTTAACTATTTCAAATTGTTTCTCAATACAGAACTTTCCTCCTCTTTTTAAAGGTTTTTATGAATCTGGCACAACCGAAACTAATTGCAATTCTATCTACTGCTAAATTATCTTAGAATCTAGTATTTTATCAACATGATGTCTACAAACTTTCTCAGCTATTTATCAAGATAGAAATGTTTATCTTAATGTACGGTAATATATTTTCATCCTGTGTTACGTGTACAGTAAGAGCAGTGCTTGGCAGCAGGGTGTTTTGTTTTGTTTTTTTTTTTCCTTGAGTGCCATCAATATTCCACCATAATTTTTATCCTGAAAGTAGTCTGTTGAGAACCAAATAGATGGGGTCACTTCGTACTTTCCAGTTTCTCTCTCAGTCTTTTTAGTTGGAATTTCTGCCTCGCTTTGCATCCTTACTCTCAGATTCTTTAGACAGATAAAATGTGTGTGAGCGCTGAGATACATTTTTCCTGCATGATATGCATAAACATTTTCAGATTCGTTCTTGTGCCATTATTATAGTTTTATCTACATTGAGTATTTTCATGTGCACCTTTAGCCCTTTCAGTAAAGAGCTGTTTTGTTGTTTGCAGTGTCCAAATGCTTAGAAATTTTCCTTGGTAGTAACATGTTAAGCCATTTCAAACAGGCTTTTCCAATGTCAACTGAATTCTATTAATTTAGTCTTTGCCTTCCATACAAAGGGGTGCACAAACTCAGGTGTAGATTTGTTCCTTCGCAACGCAGCATCGTATACCGCACAAGCAAAGTGACAGTGCTGCTGTTTCTATACGTAGCTGCATCGTTCTGGTCTCTTGCTCTTTAGAGACCCTGAAAAGTCCAAAGGGAACTGTATAACGTAACCATTTCCCTGTGCCCTAACGGGTTAGAAATCCATTTATGAATCAGCAGCTGCAGCTATGGTTTATGTAATGAGATCTGTAATGGTTTAAAGACGTGCATCAATCTATATGGAGCTGGCTCGTACTCTCAAAGGAGCTCTTTGTAAATAAAGCAATAATAGGTCTAGCACTGGCCCGTGTGGGTCTCTGAAAAGACCGCAGTAAATGTCACCAGTAGTTTGGTTCAGAATGAGAGTACATTTTTACAGTGGTAGAAATTAGCGCTGTAACAGATTTTGAACCAAGTGAAGAAATATCAAAGGTTGTCAAAGGTTCAAATTATAGTATTCCAATTGTAAATGTTACTTATGACTAACCTTATCTCACCAAAAGAAAAGTGGAGATTTTTAGCATGAGTTTCCTCTTGACATTTTGGAATATGTTAATACAATATTCAGCAAAAAATCTGGTGTGAACCCAGCAATCCAGCAGGTCATTAGCCAGAACAATGCTGGTATTTGCCACTGCTGTTCAGAAGACGCACAGATTTCCAAAGGGAAGAAGAGTTGAAAAATCTGCAAATCAGCTGCAGCTGAAAGGGGCAAACCCGGACTGTGTTTGTTTTGAAGTGACAAACTACAGCTGAATTCACCGTTCAGTTCAGGTCTGCTTCCCGGCAGCGTAGAGAAGCAAGGTATTGAATTGTTGAGCCCTAATAATAAAAATTTCAGGATTGCAGGCAGAGGAAGATCATCCCCGCACAATGCAAACGTTTGCTTCTCTGAAACTACCGGCGCGAAGGACTTGAGCGTGATCTGCTCACAGCAAACGTGCAGGCATGAGCCGCTGCGCGTTTGCTGCGCATAGCTCGTGCGCTCAAGGGTGGGACAAGATTTCATAGTCTTCTTCACCTCATTACTTCCAGCTGTCTATCGGGCCACTCAGGCAATTAAATTAACCCCCGATCAGTCACATATAGGATGTTGTCGTTGTTATGAGAATGGCTAGAAATTTTCATCCCATGTATTTTGAAGATGAAATTTTTCACAAAGCATAGACTCTCAAGCCTATTAGAAAAGTTTACCTGTTCAGAGTTTGTCTTCTAGATTCTACTATCATTTAAACTTCAAAATCTAATTATTATCTATTATTGCTTTTTTTAATAACACTGCCTAATCATGCTCTGTCCTGTACAGTCGTTTATGATTTATCTCAAATGCTAGGATGGATAATTACTAAAGATTTTTTTAATCGGACTGTGGTTGAAAGGGAAAGAAATTTTGAAATTAATCTTTGCCAGTGCTGTTTCATTATTTCTCTCCTCTGTGGCTTATTTCCTATACAGTGGGTTTCTTCGTGTGATACAATTTCTAAGCCATATATGTATGAAAAAGCAGTATGCACGTCGGTAGGTAAATAAAAGCAAAGTATCAGAGGGAATACTTGGTAAGCTATAAATCTTCCGCACCGCTGGGGAGTCTGGTTTACCCTTTTCTTCTTTCCTGTGCTTTTATCTTCTTGCTATGGCAAATGCTTAAGTAGCACTTGATACCTCCTTCTCCTTAAATCCCGTTTCCCCCCTTCTCCCCAAAAAGCATCCGAAAGCGTGGAACTTGGATTTAATGGAGGTTGTGAAATAGCTTTTATAGTATGCAGTTTGGAGTCCTTGCACTTTGACTGTTGTGATTACAGCAAGATACAACCAAAGATTTTACCACAGGAAAATGTTGGTACCGGGAGGAGAACAGGTTCCTGAGAACACCTTGGTGTTTGGAAAGAAGTAATAAATGTAAGAGGAAATATTTCCAGAATTCTCTCATTAACTGTGAATTCAGGGCTCAAAGTCTGCCTATGTTACTCAGCTGGAGTAATTCAGTAAGTGTAAGTAGTCTCACAGGTTGGTACACTGCAGCAGGGTCATTCAGATCTTGATGGTCTTGCTTTGCTGAAGTCTAATTGTTGAATTATTAAGAAAAAAAAGTAGCATGTTCTGTATTAGATATGAAAAAAATGCTTTTTACGAGCACATGCTATATGGAGTCTTTATATTAATAGCATCTTGACATTTTACACTCCCAAGGCAGTCTCAGAAACCATGTGAGGGCTGCAAATCTGGTTTGTAAGTGCTGCAATTTGTATCAGGACCTGATCTGATCAAGTACAGATTTTTGGGTTTTTTTCTAAAATGCTGAATCCGTTTTAAGCTTTTATGCATCTCTATAAGAACAGCCAGCCGTATAGAGTCAGACTTAGACTTTAGGATGTAAAGTTACTGTGCGAATAAAAATCTGATAATCTAAGTCAAAATATAATTCAGGCATTAATGGGCTGGGAGAAGGAGTAACTTCTACTGACACTGCTTTAAACTCCTGTAGTAACATTTTTCGAATTGCTTTCAAACTGAGCGCACTGTCATCCTTGCTTCGTGCTTACCTCTTAGCAGCCTTCAGGATAACATTAGCAGGTTGTCACTTTTATTGCTGCATGGTTTTGATTTATGTTTTGGCCATCAAAGTTGCCAAAAGAAGATGATTTTATATACAAGAGTATTCTGTAGATTCAGCTTTCTTGGTTCAGCAATTTCCTCTACACACTCCAATAGTTTCCTAAGTATTAAAAATTTTGTTACCAGGCATTTGCACTTCCCACGGATGTTTCAAGTTGGTCAGGGAAAAAAGATTCAGCAGCGCGGGGAACATTCTTGCAACATGCTAGTGATAGAGGTTTTGATAATTCCTTTCCGATGTCAGGAGAAAACCACATTTTAAATGTCTTTGCTTTAAAAACTTGTGTTTTGATTGTAAAAATAAGTGATTTTAACCTTCTAAAAGGAAGGTTTTATGCCGCTCCGGTGAGCTTTAGTTCTAGTTTCCAGTTGTGTGGCCACACACGTGCACGGTGCCTGGTTCGGGGTGTGATTTCTTCCCCCCCTCCTCCTTTTTCCCCTTCGTTGATACAAACTTTTCGGTATGTGGGTAGAACATTAGTCAAGTTGAACTTAATGCATACAAGTATTACTGAACAAAAATATGTGCTTCTAGCATTTATTTTAGGTTATATGCTAGTTTTACATTATCCCAGCTGGGTATTAAACTGAGTTACAGAACTGGCAGTATGTTGGGGAAAACCAGATGTGTTCTCTAAGAAAACAATAGTTTTGGGTCCAGAGCTTTCATTGAAGTCTGCTTCAAATTCACACTCCATATTCCTCTCCCTTTTCTCACCAAAAAAAAAAAAAATAATTGAGAGTTGTTCAAAAATGCATTTTCAAAAATCCAAATGATGATCGGAAAGTTTAACATGTATGCAAATGCTCTCTGGACATGGCTTCAGAAAGTAAAGACCTTTGGCTGGCCTGGAGGCTCAGCTGGTAGCAAAATATATTGCCGTATGGGAGACCCTGATTTAAGTTCAACCACAGGCCATTAATGTTTGGAAGCTCCACATAGGTGAAACTTTCAGCTCTACGGCAAAGTGGGAGAGGATTTGGAGACAGTGTTAGTGATGGACGGTTCCTGTAATTGCATCCCAAAGTAATCGTCTGCCATGGATTTCACTGAAGGGGAAAAGGAACGCCAACGGTAGACAAATGGGCGAATAAATGACGGCGTGCGCAGGTAAGTGCCCGAACCCTTGGAGAACCACCCAGGCTGGTGCTCTTGAAGGGTAAAATTGCCCTGACGATAGACATATGGTTGAAGTTTAATTCACCGGGGAAAACAGGCGCTCAACTACTGTGCCAATTGTTTTCCACCCCAAAACAAAGAAATTTTAATGATTTATAGCAGGACAGGGTGTATGTGTTACCTAATGTGTTTAGAATGACTTGATACAGTTTTCTAAGCGATGCTGGAAATGAAGCGGATAAAACAGTCACTTCTTACTCTCCTTTGTTCAAAATTTGAACAGCAGAGTTTTGGTTATCATCTGTAATATTAGTTTCTCTGAAAATGCCTTCCCAAGCAAGCAGGCTTGCAGAACTTCATGCCATAGGCTAATAAATGCAAGAAAAAATAAATTGTGAAAATCACTACCAGAGAAATGATTTTCCTTGCCTTCTCAGTGTGGAATGTAACTGGCAGTTCACATTTTTAAGAATTTGTATAACTCTTAAATGTCAGGTTACTGGCTTCAACTTGAGAAAAATAAATAAAGGAGGAAATTAATTCAACAACCAGGAATTCATTTGCAAAATTGGGAAAGTATCGGCTGCAGTACCACAACATGTAGTACACGACTTAGTCAAACAAACTGACACTCTGCTAGGATTCATTTTCATTTTATGACTTTAAATTGGAAAAAGCATGTTTGCATTATTGCAAAGGCTGGTGTGAAAAAAGCACCAATTCCCAAGCTCTTCTCCAGGGTATTGGGAACGTTTGTCCCCTTGGCACATTGACTCAGGCTTCTGATGGAGAAGCTAAATAGAAACGATATGGCTTCACGAAGAGAGAAGTGTATATAATGGATGTCTTATCTGTGAACTGTGATGGAAATCAGAGGATGGTGATTTGTGTTAGTCTAACGTTATTAAATTTGTCAAAAAGACGATAGTTTTAAAAATGACAGTGGATATAGGTAAGAACATCCACTTTAATGAAAGAAATCAATCATTTTTTCCTAATTGCTTTTGCTTGAGCACTATTGTCTGAAAACGTTTTTGACATGAAACATAAGATTTACTGAGGTGGAACATGATATATAGCTTAAAATATACATTACATCTGCTTTAATTTTTGGTCATCGTTGGAACACACTGAGCAGTTTACAGTGACACTACCTTTTTTCAGTGCAAATAACTTAAATGAAGTAGATACAGCTTCTATTATTTTGGATTCTTTTTACATGATCTTTACTGGGAGATAAAAGCCAAGATTAGAGGTACAGTTGGGTATTTTAATTCACTCCCTACCAGTATCCTGTAATCTTTTGTAGGGGTATTTTGAGAAGTCCGGGTGTGCTTGTTGTATGTTTTTCTTTCTAAAAACCAGCCATTTCATATGTTTATTTCTATCCTAAATTCTGGAGTACATACTCCCCTTACAAATATGTGTACCCTACTGTAACATGAGTTGAACTCCGTGTGTCTGTGTATCTTACAGTTATCCTGTCTATCTTGAGATTTGGGTGGAAAAACAAAACCAAAGAGACGAGTACTTCCAAGTTCTGGATTCCTTTCCCTGTCTGTGCAACTCAGAGAGCATCTTCCCGTAGGGCTTGGGTTTGTTAAGGGGAAAAGCCCTGAGTGTTTGAATCTGCTCTTTAACTTCTGTCAAATTTACACTTTTTCTTGTCTTTCCTGGGATTTTTTTTTTCTTGAATTATGTCTACAGTGTTATTTTTTGTGCAGGTTTCTGTAAGCAACTTGGTAATGTAATTCAGGTAATTCTCAGGAGTACTGCTTTCTTATTTAAGTGTTCTTTAATTGACAAGTACTGGCTTATAACTTTCTCCAACTTCTGATTTATAGTTCAGGCACAGTTACAGTTAATTCCTCATTGTGGTTGTTCCTACCATTCTTCTTCTGCTTCTCTTTTGAAACCATTATGTATTTCTGATACTGATTGATATAAATTGAGCTGCTTACATCATTTCATAATTAAAGTGCAGGAAGTAGTATATTAATTTTCTTTTCCGTAGGACTTTTCTTGAACATTCCAATACTGGAACTTTTCTGTTCCTCTGGGCATAAAAGGCTCATGCTGTTGTCGCATGTGCTTTTTTTTCCCCATCCATATTTCTCCAACTTAATAGGATCCTGCAGTGTACGGTAGGAGCAGTGTTTTGTTACCCTAGCAACAAAAACCAAACTTTCAGATGTTATTTTGCTAGTATTTAAGAAAAAAATCTCTGCCAGTTATGATGTAAACATTTGCAGTTCCCCCCAAATGCCTTTTCTTTATGGAATCAAAGTAAAATCACCATTCTGAGTGGAAACTGATAAATTGTTTTAGACGTTTTTAAGCAAAATAACAGATGTGTTTGATTCTGGTAGATCCTCAGTGATCTGGTCTTACTATTTTTAAGTGGCATATTTACTACTAGCCTCATTGGAGGAGATGTACCCTCTCATCGGCACTGAGAGTCCAAATTCTAGTTTTAAGTTATTTATGAAAGGATTGAATGCTATTTCTGCTGAAATTGCCTGAAGACTTTAGCAGAATTTCATAGTAAATGCTGAAAGTACTTCAGTGTTTATCTTGACCTTTTGTTTTAAGCATAGCTAATCCCATCGGGAATTTGAGACTGGAGGATGGGACCAGCAGGGTGACATTTAAAGCCGTGTTTACATTTATTAGACCAGCAGGGACGTGCCACATAAAAATGTAAAGGGAGACAGTCCTTTAGGACTGAATTATCCTCTCCCCCTTGGCTAGGTTATGTCACAACAAAAAATTTCCCACCAGCCAGATGCTGTGTGACTCACCATTTATTATTCACTTGAATAACCTTTATCAGTGCTGGTCAGTTGGAGGGAGTCTGGGTCACTCATGTATGACTTGTTTCTTGAGCTTTTGCACTCGGCAGCTACAGCTTAGTAAGATTTCTCTGACACTGTAGTATTTTTCTCTGAACCGTCCAGCCATTTCTTAATAGCACTCAGTTGTGCGTTGAATAAAGCCCAAAAATAACATTCTGTTGGAAAAAAAAAATTTAAGCCAAAGGCTACTTTAGTATTGCTCAAAATAGTGAATTATTGTAGAGATATTTAATTGTCCACTCTTGAAAAATCTTTCTTTTGGAAGTAGTTCCATCAAGTTTATCATACTGCCGTGGTTTAACAGTACTGCTTTTTTTCGGGGTGTTTTACTGCTAACAGTAAGCCGTTTCATCACAAAATGTCGCAATTACGTAGATTTGAATAATGTTTACTGTTCTTAGGTTGAATTAACTCAAAAGATTTTGCAAGCTATAACAGAATGTCGAAGGCTGAGCTGAGCTGAAATGCTTAGTTATATATTTCCGTCTTTTTTTAATTTCTGCCAAACGGTGATCGGGATATATGAAATAATTTTTGGTGGGTTAATTACTTGTCACATCCTTCATATGCATGCATATAGCTGGTATGATGTAAAACATTGGTTCACCAGAAAAAAAGGTACAGAAAAGAGATTGATTAACCTGAGCCTTGCCTTCAGAGAAAGTGGGCACGAAATACCAAAAGTACCTAATTTAGGGTACTCTGGTAGGTGCAGGTACGTCAAACTACTTGTTGTGTAACAACTGAAATTAAACCGTAGGTTACGATTTGGGAAGCGCAACATCTGAGAAGAGCTGTCAGTTAACCACAAAGTTGTTTTGAGAAGTTTCCCGTGGTGGGCGATTCCCTAAGAGTATCTTCACACAAAAGATGAGTCAGATGGACCGTACAGATTTCCTTACAAGCCTCATACTCCGAATAGCCTCTTTAATCTGATACACTGAATTTAGATGAGGTAACTCTTCTTTCCGTAACCAAGCAATTTTTACTGAAATTACATCTGCAGTTGAACTGCCAGTTAATTATAATTAAGCTTTGCACGTGTGCTAGTTTAAAGTGGATTTTCAGTGGAAGTCTGTGTTTTGTTTTGGTGTATTTTACGTCATTTTATAGGGCCTAAGCCCATCTCTACTTGAAGTCAAAGGAAGCCGCTTGGCTTCCATGGGATGTGACCCCGAAGCATCTTGAGACGATACCTCTCTCTTTGCTCTGCTCTCCGTTGGTGCTGGCAGATAAATTACTGTCCCTCCACCTGTGATACTGAGTTAAAATAAAATACTGCTGATGTAAACGTGGACTACTTACATACAGGATTTCATATAATCTCATGGTATTTAGATCACCTTGGTTGATCTAAAAAGCTTGATTTGGGCTTGATTTGGGCTTTTATTTCCTAGTAATTAACTTTGCATCCCTTTCAGCTAGTGTAATAGTTCACAGATAAAGTTTTAATTACGCCGGTTACCCTTTTGGGCTCAATACCAACCACTTCTCAAAGGAGCTGTTAGTCTGTTGAGGGACCCCCAGCTTGCCGTGTAAGAGTACGTGTGTTGACCCAGTGAAAGTATGAGATGCTTTTAACAACTGCACCTTCGTCTTTAGGTATTCCTTTGAATTTAGGCAGGATGCATTTAACCTGCCGGGAGGTCGTAAGCCTGATGGGTTTTTTGTATGTTATGTGTTTTTAAATATTGTATATGAAAAAAGTGGCTTATTCCAGTTGGACTGTGCTTGGGAAAGGGTCAGGGAGTGATGGTGAGAGCAGGTGTTTGGAGGTTTTTTTGTTGTTGGTTTTTTTTTTTTAAGACGTTATGAACTGTATTTATTCAATCTTTTTCTGCCCCTTATGTTTCTCCAGTTTATTTACAAATTTAGATGTGAACATTTTTCAAAGACCCTAGAATATTTATTTTAAATTATTTTTTTATTAAAAAAAAATTGTACTGGGAATGTTAATAAAGATCATGAACCTCTGCCACGCTTTCTCTTTCAAAACTTCACGCAGTTCTGTGCACCTCGTTTTTCTTTGCTCGGGGCCTGTGACAAGATTTCGCTGATGGCTGCTACTCGCCATAAAACCATAGTGCTGGGAAGTATTGGTGGCTTTGCTGAATAGAGTTAGTCTATAGAGGCAGAGGCTTGCTCTTGGGGCACGCTGAGCCTTGCTCTCCTTGGGGATCGCTGAAATGGAGATCTTGGGAAGCAAGGTAGTGTTGTGAAAGGGCTTTTGAAGATGCAGATGGTTTAAATACCCGAAGCCACAATTTGCCGTCGCTTGTTTAGCGCAAGCCAACCGCAGTGACCAGAAAGATGGACGTTTTTGTGAAGTTTGTTTAAGTAACCACAATAGCTGCAGTTTGTGCTCGTGTATTTCTGCAGGTTTTGTACGGGGGAATTTTGTAAGGGAATCTCGGAGCAGACGTTACTGAGTAGGGCTGGGCTGTGGTATATGCTCAAAGTAAAAGCAGATGAGATGGTTTATTATTTGTTACGCAAGGAAATAATGCCACTGATAAAAATGTACTCTGGACTTACTCTTTTCATTTTTCCACACTTGGTAGAGCTGAAATCAGTTTCACTTTTCATGCCTTTTAGTTTGGGGAATTTAAAGGAGGTGCTCTCAGTTATATGACTCTGTAGGGGTGTTAGTTAATGAAGTTTTGACAGATTTAAGGTTACATTTTGCATGGTTCAATTCAGCACACTTAGAAGTACACAGCAGGGAGAGTTCCTCTCTCTGTGAACTTCTATATATTAGACTTTTATACATGCTGAATTTATGTTTGTATTGGCACACTTTATGTAGGAAATAAACAGCAAATTTAGGTACAGGTTGTTGTTGGAGTAAGGACAGGACTCTCAAGCTTTATGAACTAGATCATTACCTTCAGAATGATAACCTAATCTTTAAGAGCAGTGGATCCTTTTTATATCGTTTCCAATTACCTTAGATCAAACATGTTTTTATTTTAAAAGAAACATATTGGGATGTTAATGAGAATATATTACCTTAACGTTCCCAAAGCTCTTGAAGTGTAATTTTCTGCAAAACCCTTATCGCACAACACTGCAATATTTGAGGACAGGTGAGTGGAGCAATTTAGTTTTTGGGTGATGGTAGCTGCCAACAGGATACGTGATTTGGGGACTCTGGTAGTCGCTTCATTCCCACTGGGTCCCCCCCCCCTTTTTTTTTTTTTTTTTTTTTTTTTCCCCTCTTTTCTCCTCTGGGTAGCCCAGTCCATACCTGCTATCGTGCTCAGGTGGAAGGGGAGATCGTGGCTGAACCTTTCTCTTTGGCATCAACGTCTGGGCACAGACGTTACGAGGAGTGTGTTTTTAATTCAATAATATGCCCAGTTTAGAGGAAATGTTTACAAGGTAGTTAGTAAAGAATTAAAATATGTTTGCATACTTAATGTCAATCAGCACTATTTTGTTAAAAATGGGCTGGTTTTTGTGAGCTTGATTGACAGTATACTTATTTGCTTTATGTTTCCAACATGCTGTTCCAATCATTTGAGAATGTAGCCCTACAGCAAATGATTGAAGCCAGTGTTAAATGTAGTCAAAAGAAATTAGTTGATATATTGCAAAAAGTAATTTTAGGCCTTCTAATTTGTATTTTCTGGTGTTTTCCCACAAATATCTTTGACTAATGCTATTCACTAGTTTAATCAAAGATATGAAAGAAAATTAATAATTAGTGATATGTAAATGGCAGTGTAATTAAATGTTAAGTAATGAAAGTAACAGGTCATTTTTACACTCTGACCTAGATTACTAGATATGATTGACTCAACCTGCCTTTTAATAAAACTAGATGAAAAGTAATGTATTTTTCTAAGAACAAATATTCCAGATTTATTTTTTTTATATACCGGTGAATGTTTGGTGGCCTGCTTGACATGATAAAATATAGTCTTTCACCTCCCAGCCCTTTTCCTGCAGGGAGCAATGAGAAGACGCAGACGACGGGGCAGTACGTTAGATGCTCCATGCTGTTCTGTCAACTGAAGTCTTTAAAATAAAGATGACCTCTAAAAGAGATGTTATACTTCAAAAAGCAGCTGTGGTTTTCATGGACATTGCTTTGTGTAAGGGTCTTTAATTTATGCCGTGTAAGACAAACTATACAATGATCAGCCCTTTGTAACAGTAAAATAGAAAAACCTGTGAATTCCTGGAAACTCTGTGGTGGCTGGATATGAAACACATTATTGGAGTACGCATTATGGCCTAGAGGTTTTCTTCTCTTCTGGTGATGCTGGTAATAATCAAATGATAATCAGAACAAGTTCAGCTTGAAAAATAAGAAAGTAATATATGTAATTATTTTGGAAAAAAAGTGACTGGTGTATATATTTTGGCTCTTCGCTTTGCTTTAGTGTGATCTTAGTAGTTTGCAGTCGGACATACAGCAGCCATAAAAAAGGACCTTAAAAAGAAGTGAGGCCTCATATTTTGGAGACTTCCGCTTAAAAAAGCGTTGCCAATAAATGATCTAAAGGATGGGTTACATCTTCCATGTGCTTACTTGCACCTCTGTGTGCTTCTCATCAGTAGTTACTGAGAGAGGAAAGCTGCAGATACTCTCTGCAACGCTGTGAGCCATCTGTCTTCCTTATCTTTCTGGAAGAGGAACTTCCAGTCTTTTATTGCTGTTGTATTTTGAGAAGTTTGGAAGATAAAATTTAGACCTTAAAACTGTCTTGTAATTCTGTCAAAATACTTAATGCTTAATTTTTCATACAGCATAGAAAGTATGCAGCAATATGTAGTGACCGTACTGTCAGCTGTGTACGTTCTGAAGAACTACAGGTTGAATGTGAATTTATTTCTCTACAAAGATAACACGTCATCGGGCTATGTAGGCATTCTTACTTTAGGTACCTACGGGATAGGTAAATACAGCGCAAGGGCTACTGTGGTTCCCGATGGATACTGCTTGATCTAAGCATGAAGATGACTGCTTCTGCAAGAACAGTTAGGTCGGTCCGTCCGTCCTTTGCTGCCGCTCCTTTTCGTCATGTTAATACTTTAATTCTATTTGAACTGGACTGTAAAATCACCAAAATAACTTCGCATCAACCACCATCAGATATGAGCTTGTCAATACAGTTGAGCTCGGTTAAATTGAACCAATGGCTTAAAGAGGAAGGGGTGTAGAGTAGATCATGTTGCCGATTTTCCTTTATGCTTTAGTATCCTCCATGCTGGACTTGTTTCCTGGTGTTGAGTCTTGCTCTGCTTCATCAAGTGAAATTAAGAACGACAAAAGACAATCTTATGGAAGAAATTTTTTTTTTTTTGGCATTCTGCATTGCCTGTTCCAGATTTCTTAATAAATGCCAAAGTGGTGGAGACCTTGATTAGTCTAACTTTCTGATGGTTTCGAGGAACTCATTAATTTATGATACTAAAAAGTTTTGATTTCTGGACCTACGTGTAGAGTCTAGTTGCTCCAGGTAAACTCATCTATAGGCCTGCAAGTGTTTTGTTGGCCCTAAATACAGTGGATGTTTTCAGTCTTAAGGCTCCATGAAGAAAACTTTTAAGACTGAAAAGAATCAGCTATGGGGAGTTTTCTTTTTTAAGTGAACATGTTTATCAGCAGAGCTTCGTATCATTTGAAGGAGCTGTGTTTGCTATTTGAAAGTATTATGTAGTTTTGCCATCAGTGACAGTGGAGGAGGATGATAGGCAGGTATTTTCTTAAATTGTTGTTTTCTAGGAATCATTTAAACCCATAACCATCCTTACACACTTGGGTCCAAACTGTCCTTTTTACCAAAGTTTTAGCTAGAGCATGTCACTGAGATCTTTCCTTGTTCCTATGCAAACTCATTTCTTTTGTGCAACATTTGCTGAAATGCTTACTTGCTGGCTATAAGTATTACAGGATTTTCAGATGTGAATCTTCTATAAACAACCACTCTAAGTGATTCAAAACCTCTTTTTTTTTTTTTAAAGAAACGTCATCTTTTATTGCATTCCTACAGTAGAAATGGGAAGAAGCGATGGAAAAAAGAGACCAAAATCCCAGTGTGTCTTGTTTTTGAGCTTTTTATAGGTAGGCAAACATATGTGCTTGCCTAGATTAATAAAAAAGCTCACAACAACAGTAGTAAGAATGTGTTTTAGAAGGCTCAATCTGGCAAGGACCAGACTGAGGAATGGGCTTTTTTGGTAAACAAACTTCAGCTATCCCAAAACAGTTACCTATTTTTGAAGGTTGGGGCCTAGAGAAAAGTTTTAAGTTATGGGCTTCTAGAAGGGTAATTCTCAGTGATAAGTAAAATCAGCAAAGGACATGGTATGAATTGAACCATGATGGAAACTGTACTTGAATAATTTTGGAAAAAACTGAAGGAAAACCTATTACAGTTTAATACTTAAAAAAAAAAATTATTTCCTGCCCTGGCAGTTGAATGTTAAATGGGAACTATTAGTTATGAGCTAAAACGGTCTTTAGATGGAAAGGAAGGGAGCAGAGAAAATAGCTGGTTTTCATTATTAATACTAATTTTATTACTACATTTTATACGGCAAGCGTCTCACCAAAGAAGGAGTGAAAAATGGAAATCCAGGACCTTCAGGCTCAATAGCTTGCATGTCCTGAATCATCAAGACTTTGAAGAGAGAGTGAGAGGGAAAAAAAGGTTGAGAGGGGAGGGAAGAAAACCAAAGAGAAAGGCAAGTCTTCAGGCCAGTGGGATACCGCTGCAAGGGTCTGCGCTTCTGCTATGGTTCTGATGGGAGGCCTGGGTCTGCGTTAGCGTTGCCGTAAGGAGGGACAGAGAACGTACGTATGGGCACAGTATGCTTTGAGTGGGTATAACAGAATCACAGGATCAGTCAGGTTGGAAAGGACCTTCAAGATCATCAAGTCCAACCATCAACCCAACACCACCATACCCACTAAACCATGTCCTGAAGTGCCACTTCCGCACGTTTTTTGAACGCTTCCAGTGACGGTGCCTCCACCACCTCCCTGGGCAGCCTGTTCCAATGTTTGACCACTCTCTCAGTAAAGAAATTTTTCCTAATATCCAATCTAAACCTCCCCTGATGCAACTTGAGGCCATTTGCTCTCTGTCCCTCAGCTCATTTTATCAAATCTGTCAGCTCTTCTATCTCTCACTGAAAACTTATAGAGCTTTAAGGTAAGTAAATGTTTGGTCAAAGAGACTGTGGTTCTGCGTTCGCTGACTATGCCAAGAGGTCACACTTCGTTCTAAACATCTGAACAAAATGCTATTCCTTCTAGTATTCCTAGGACCATTTAAAATCAAAACTAATCGAAATGTATTTGTATTTCTGTCTGAAGGTTTTAGGGGACGTTGTCTTATTCTGAAAGGTGATGGTAGTGGTGATGAAAGGGGCTTTTTCGTTCTTGCTTTTTAATTTAGGCACGTTGTCTTCACCAGGCTCACCATGCAGTGTGGTAATCTTTGAGGCAGCAAGGTTTGGGACATGAAGGGTTGCAAAGATCAGGCCAGGTCACAAAACGTGCTTGAGAGTATCGGTAACTTCAAAGCTTTCTGAAGTACATGTATTTGAAAGATATTCTCAAATATCTTACAGACGTTTCCTAAAGTATTTTGATTTTTCATGATAAACATTTTCCACTAGGTTTTCTGTTTGGGGAAAAACATATACCCGTGGTTGTAAGTGCAAGCTGAAAGAACAGAAGAATTTAGCGAGCTGCTCTCTTCCAGCTGTGCGATTGCTTAACGCTTGCCGTGGAAATAATTGTGCAACGTAAAGAGTGCGCTCCGGTTCCGCGACAGCTAAGGAGCTTGTCACTGCCAAGGCAACTTTTTACCGCTGACAGCAGACAATAATAGATGACCAAACATACTTTTTCTAAGTCCTCCACTGAATTATTCCACAAAATAATTTTTTTGGTCTGCTTGTTAATCTTAAAGGCAGTCTCTTTTCGGATTGTTTTCAGCATTCGCTTGAGTTAGCTTGAGTGACGTTCCATGTCAGATATTCCTGTGCTTTTATGCCTAAGTGAGGGTGACCAAGCTGCTTGTTCTCTGTGTGTTTAGAGCATGAATTAATCAATTTTCTTAGAAGTGAAGTTTATTATTTTTCAGTTTAACCATGTTCTGTTACCTGTTTTGGACTAGTAAGGCAGGATGTTAGAGAAGTCCAGTGGAACCGGGAAGAGAAGTTCATTTTCAGGGTAGATTGTTTCTTTTTTTGGTACAATTCCTTTATTTTAAGGTCAAGGGCAGGGAAGAATTACGAAGTTACTGTTCTGGAAATCAAGCGAGCAGCCAAAGAAAAGCCGTATACTTACACCTGCCCCATTTGCGAAAGGCTCTGCCACCCAGCGCCTCCACGAATGCCGTGTGACGTGATGCGGAGTTGCAAATGCCAGCAGAATCCAAGGACCATAACCAGACTTGCCACTCTATAGTTGGGCTTTTTCTGAACAAAATACGTATCAGCACTGCTGCTTGTGAGAAGTAGAAAGGGTGACATCAGTCATAGTTCTCCAGCATAACAAACTTTTAGCGTATTTTTAAGCTAGGACAGAAGTGTTAAGAAATTTATCCTAATCTCCAGTAATGCCTAGAGAAAATGTAATTTATTGCTGTTTTTAATGTCAGTTCAGGTGGATTTTCCTATCTGGATATGCTTGAGATTCATGACAAATTGCGTTATGTGAGGAATACAGTGTGATTAGTTAAGTGATATCTTTAGTAAGCTGCAGGTTGTCATTGTGTCACGTTTGACAGAGGTTTTCATACGTACAAAGTGGAATCAAATCTTCCAGGCTGACCCCGAGGTTGGGTTGATCCTCTCTTTGGCTCAGCAGATTAAACACAAGGTACTATGCCATTGAGACTACAGAAAAGAAAGAGCAAAGATGGCAATTCTTCCCTTCTACTCTCATCCATTTGTGTCTTAATTTCTGAAGCTGTACATTAATTCAAATAGAAACTGCAAAATAATAATTTTGTTCAGAGTGCTGTATATAAAATCTGCAGATATTAAGAAGAACATGTCACTCATTCCTTCATTTGAAGTTGTCAGATGGTTTAATTTAAGACTGAGATATTTTTCCTGTTCTTGCTTTTATTCTTACTTGTTCCGTGACTGATTGTATAGCCAGTTACGCCACAATAACAAACCAGGCCATATTTAATGAAATCTAAGACAGCTATTAATGATAGCATGTATTAAGTGGAAAACATTAAGAAGTCTTTTTCAGCCTTAGATTGTTCTTATTTTAGTTTTCCAAGTCCAGACATACTTTTTTTTTTTAAGTGATTTTAAACATGTATTAAGTAGATTGTGCATGATGGACAAATGGATAAAGAGAAGTATAAAGAAGCGGAATGGGTCTTAGTTTTGAAAAATGACCTTTTCCTAGCTTCCAAGCATCCTAACATGTTTTTTAGCTATGGGGAAAAATAGAACGGTGGCAGTTCGTAGAGAATAAACATATCAATGCGACATTCAACTTAGAGCCAATCATCTGGTTTGCAAAACCCAGATAGTTTGGCATAATGCTAGTGGCAATGAATCTGCCTTGCTTGGCCACTCACCTTCCACTGTTGACTACTAAAGCCTGTGGTCCTTGGGTTCTGCACAAGCAGGACGTGGCAAAGAAGGAAAATCTATACTAATTGCAATTTTTATAATGTTTGATGTCTTATCTCCCCAGTTTATCAATATCTTTTTTCAAACTGTACAACTGGAAACCAAGCGCAGTGTATGTGGCTATTACCGCTGTAGTCTTGAGTTGGGACTGGAGCACGTTTAAGCTGAACTGAGCTGGTTTTAATCTGGCTGGTTGGGGAGAATGGAGCAGCAGCAGTCAATCTGTGACCTTGTCACTGGTAATTCATAAATACCTGGGTTTGTCAGCCCCTGCTGATGTTGGCACGTTGTCCATTTTACCTCTGTGGATCCTAGCTCAGCTTCATCATTACATCCTATAAAAATGCTTCCCGGTTCTTTGTGAATGAAAGGTTAACAACAAATATTTTATCCAGCAGGAAGGTGCCATAGGAAAAGCACATACCCATTTGCATGAAACCAGTAGGGAAATGTAATTTGACAGCAAAAAATATTTTATGCAAGTATTGCTGGTTTTGGTTGCTTGGGTTTTTTTAATTGTAGGCAGCATGGTAAAGATAGATTATCACTAGGAATCTGATAGGTTTGGTATATGATGACATATAGCAGAGTTATCTAGTGTTGCCCAGAGTGTGTGCTGTAAATGGGAGCTCTTTAGAAGTGTGCTGGAAGGTGTGCAGTTGAGAACATACCATAAAGCAGGGAAGCTGGTACTGTTATAAGTTATAGGCTGCTTTGTTGTAAAACAGTTTGTATGTGAGAATGATGGGCTTGTCGGGTCACTCAGTTGTTCTGAAGTTTATAGGTCAGAAATAAATGAGAAAAAATACATTTAAAAGACCTGCAGGTAATCAATAGGACAGACTGTGATGTCCTTCCGACAGCATGTATCATATAGTTCCAAAACAAATACCGTAGGACAAGAGAATTTTGCTTACTCCTGTAAAAACAAAATGTAGCATCCTTTTACAGTTTGATGCTGACTGTATCTCAGAACACCCAAGATCCCTATAAAATCCTGACAACACCCCTGAAGGTCATTTATGGAGGTCACCTCTTTTTGCCTCCCACACTCCCTAGAGAAATTCTGGTCTACCCACTCCTTCATGGCCACCCACCCGCAGATCAGCTGAGAAATCATACTTTGTTAAGAATGTTATTTTTGTTCTTTGTTCTCTTTCTTCCGTTTGAAAGATGTTTTTTTTCACTGTAGTTCATATACCGTAGTTTAAAAATACATAATTCATGGGATATAAACTAAATCCAGCTAAAATATACAAATTCAAAAAATAAGTCTGAGGATTTGTCATTGTTTAAATACATGTATTTTATTCTGATTTGTGTTTCAAGAAGTAAATTAAAATTAGTCTAATCATAAGAATGCTTTTAAGCAAGCACTTTTAGGTGGATCAACCTTTCTTTGGTTTTTGAAGCCTATAGGGGACTTACAGTCTTCACCAGTCAAAATGCAGATGTGTCTAGAGCAAGCATTAATTAGCAGTAATTCTTAAACCTACACCTTCATATACAATAGGAATATAAACATTACTATAATAAATTGTCAAAAGTTGAATGCCTTTGGCTGTGAGAAGGAGCATCGTGGATCTGTGTCTGTTCAGTACGAGCATTACTCAGTGATGTTCTCGTGTGCTATTGACATTGTCACACTCTCAGTGTAACCTGCTCAGGCTGTGCCACTCAGTCTTTGCAATAATCCTTAACAGCATTATGAATCTCATAAGGCAAAACGCCATCGGCATCTAGTACGGGAATCTTTCCATATGTGTACCGTGAACTCTCGGAAACCCACCTGATTTAAAGCAACTGTTGCTGGTGGACAAGTTTTCTTGTGTTTTTTTTTTCAATGGTCTTTGGTTTTGCATCTGTTCGGAGTTAGATGCTTCCTAATGCATTGCTGATTGTGATTTTTTACGAGCTGCTTTCTCCGTTGCTTTCCCTGCAGGTGTTGCAGGGTGCTCAGCTAATAGCTGTTGCTTCTGCCGAGCCTGCGTCGGGGGGTGTTGATGGATCCCCGCTCCAAGGGAGTGATATCCAAGTCCAGTATGTGCAGCTGACGCCAGTGACAGACCACTCTGCGACTAATCAAGTATGTGCATATATCTTTTTGCCATTTGAATGTACTTGATTGAAGCATCTGTCAGACGAACTATATATCTACCCACAAATACTGCAGTCCCAATGAGTTTATGATCCTGTTTCTAAACCGTAAAAAAAAAAAAAAAAAAGTAATCTATAATAAGAAACATCATTTTGTTAAAGGTATAAATGGTCTTTGACTATCCCTGCTTCTATGTTCTTGCACAATGCCTCTGGAGAATAGTTATTTTGGTCTTCATTGTTTTTCTGCATCCTTGAAGGCCGAGAGCCATGTTAAAGGACAGAGCAAAAAACTTGCTTGGAATCTATCCAAAAAGTATTTTTCAGACTGAGGTTTCTCTTAAAAATGTTATTCCCTCTCTGACAGCAGTTTTCCAGTTATTTTGATCAACAGCCTGGATTTCCCGCAGGAGTCGCAATGTTAGCAATTGTAAGTGAACACTTGATCCTCTCAGTTATGGTGGCGAAATTTTTTTTTTTTTTACTTTTTATATCAGCTTGAACAGTCATGTATCTGAGTCTAGAAAAACTTTCTCATCAGCTTGAAGCTGTGACTGGTGACAACACAAGAATGCTGACTTAAAACAGTTGTCAGAAGTTTTTCTGAAGATGGTTACACATTCTTCTGTGAACCCCACTTAGTGGGCTGCTGTTCTAGAGAATGCCAAGTGGTTGTGAAAAATGAGCTCTTGCTTGCTAGCCACAATATAATGGTATCCTTAGCAGCCAATACCGGAGTGGATTTTTGTCCGATACATACCCAGTTTTGTAGAGAATCCTGATCTGGCTACAAACATTTGGATATTGAGTCTCTTGAGGGGGGAAAAAAAAAAGGCGTAAGAAATCAAGGGAATCATGTCCAGACTCTGTGCACAAACCTCAAGTGCTTAGTGCTTCTTACATGGGCAAGGCAATCTGCCGATCGGTTCACTAGATGAAGTCAGAGCACGTTAGTTACTCCAGTGGCAAAGAGGGCCGCAAACAAAAGGTGGAGCTGTGTTGCCTATTGCCAGTGTTTCACCACCCTCATTGTGAGAAACGTCTTCCTCTGTCTAGTCTAAATCCACCCTTTAATGGTTTAAAACCACTACCCCTTGTCCTATTGCAGCAGGCCCTGCTAAAAAGTTTGTCCTCATATCCAGGTGGATATGAGGATGCTACAGAAAAATTACGCTCCCTGCCAAAAAGGACCAGACTGTCTGGCATGTGAGTGTGCCGTGCTGTGAGATTACATCCTAGTTTCTGTACACTGATCTTCCCGTGCAGAGGAGCCCTTAATAATCGTTTTTCCCTCTTTGCTAGTCTTGTCTCTGCACTAACCTTCTCGATATTTTATTCAGTCACTCGCAATAGTACGCTGGATGGTAAGTGTTGCTACAGGGATTGTGCCTTATTTTGTATAAATCCTCAAGTACTGCCGGTCCCATGCAATTAAGAAAGCGCATAGGCACCAGGTAGTGAGAGATGTCCCTCGTGCTGCTGGGACATCTGGGAAATTCTCAAATTTACCTCCCACGGACTTTCTCCTGGGTCTGTTCCTCGTGCCTGTCCTCCCTTCTCAGCTACCACCTCTGACGGGCAGGAGCTTAGGGAGCTCGGTTGTAAACATCGGCATCCGTCTCCCACACAACTGGAAGCCACCAAAGGAGTTACTTGTCTCTTCAGGGACACTTTGCACCGTGTTAGGTTTTAATATTGTGGTTAACCACAGAGATTTATACAAAGCTGAAGACAAGCAGAAGAGGAATATGAAATACGAAGAGTATGAAAGGAAAAACGGAGAAGACTAAAAATAAGTTTGCCATAAATATTTCCTCAGTTTACACAAATGAAAAACGAAGGATGTTAATGAATTGGAGAAACCAACTTGGTATTTGCATTACTCTGAGTTATATGGATAGTTCAATAGCTTTCTTTTTTTTGGCTTAAATTATGGAATAGTCCTACTCGCCTTAGATCTCTTATCTGAAGGGAAAACCCTCTAAGTGAGGCTGTAGTGACACTTCTATCTGTTTTTATATGGTTCTTTGCCAAGGTACTGAGATGTTCTCAATGATTTTGGATCTATTTATCCATCAAAGCTTATAAAAGTGGAGTTTATTATCCACCTGGATTGGATGTTATGCTCTACACAAATTCCGTGTTTGAAACACCACAACTGCGAATTTATTTATTGTCTGAAAACAAGACCCCAGTTTTCTGACCTTTTTTTCGTGGGAGCCATGCCTTTGGAAGCAATCGCTCGTGCAAAGCTGAAGGTAGGAGTGGGGCTATTTGAAATAAATCTCTTCTCTGACTTCAGCTGAAGCAGACAGCAACAAGCCCTTCAGCTCGGTATTTTCAACGTATTTGTGCACAATATTGTATTTGCAAATTAGCTGTAGACAGAAGGTTTAATAGGTAGGATTCTGACAGTTCCGTAGTGACCCTAAACCACATATGTAAACACAAACTATTAATGTGTCAACAGTGTTTTGCTGGCATAAAATTGAAAATGCATGTGTGGAGGGAGGGAGCCATGGTTTGAAATCAGATGCATTTTGGGGATTTAGGTTTAGTTGGCTTGTTTTCATGTCTTGATAGCATACTTACTTATAGCAGCTTGGAAAATGTAGAAATCCAGAATGATGACAAAGAATATTTGGATTAATTCCGTGCTCAAATTCTTATGCTGATGGTAAATTTTGTTAGATTTGGAAAAAAAAAATCCTTCCAAATCTAAAGTGTGCTTCTAATCCCTTTGGGCAGTCTTCTACTTCTGGTCTGAAAGTTGGATATAATATTCAGTATTGCTGTTGTGGCTATAATTTGATAATTATATTACTTCAATAGAGTTTTCCTCTAATAGGCAAAGCAACTTTGATGGTCACTTGAAAATTTACCCGCTATCAAATTCAGCAATCTGATATTCACCGCTTTGGCACTAATTTATTGAACATTTAAGTAAACACCAAATTACCTATAAAGTTGAACAGGAAAAAAGTCTTGTAGCTGTGTGCAATTACTGGAAACGAGAGAGAGAGAGAGAGAAGAGGAGAAATAATTTGACAGCGAGACCTTAATTTAGGAGCAGTGCTTTATAATTTTGAACCTCCGGTATTTCCATTTGAATAAATAAGCGGTGACTGTATAGTAAAACCTAAAGGATGGGAAATCTGCTTGGGTTTGCATCCTTGCGTCTTTGTGGATCATCCTGCAGATACTAGGCTGAGAGCATAAAGCAGGGCTTCAAGTAAGACTTTTTCATAACAGAAGTACTGCCACAGAAATAATTCTGTATCCAGGGTGTTACATAAAGCATCTATTAGATGTATTTATGGAGGGAAAATCCATCAAGGGCAGATCTCTGGAATCTGTGGGAGCGTACAGGAAAGTATCATTAAATTCTTGCCCTTTTCTTGTAGTTTATCTATGCTTGTGATACTGGCTGCTATCAGGGGAAGGCTTATTGGGTGTGATGGACTTTATCCAAGCCAATACAGCTGTTCTTAAATGCTGTTCATCTTATAGCTCTTAAAGATGGACTTCATTTCATAATCTAGTTTTCCTTACTCCAACTAACTTGGCTAAAAACTTTGCTATGGGATTATCCTTTCACAGCATTGTGAGACTACTGGTAGGCAGTAATTTAATTTTTAAGGAGACTTCCTTTGAAAGCTTAAGTCAATTGTGCTTACTTGAAATTCTTTCACGGAGAACTGTTTTTGCTTGGAAAGTAAGTAGAATCAGGCCTGTGGGAAGAATTTTGAGAAAAAAGTTGACTGTAGTAGCGCTATTCTCATTTTACACAAAATGGAGAAGGACTGCAGTGGGTAAAGTCGGCAGTTTTAGACCGTATCCTGCACCAGCTGGGGAAATTCCAAGCACAGGGCAAACAGGTAATTTTCTCCTTACCTACAATAGTTCTGTCACTCCGGGACTTGCTGCTATCTTTTCTATGATCACCCTTGGTGGACTTCCCTTCCAGAACACTGTTCAGCTCTGTGCCCTCGAGCTGTCAGTACGTACGTCGTGCTGGGACAAGTCCTTCCACAGCTTCGGCACATGTTGTGCCAGACATGGCTTTTATTTTGTTTCTTTTTAGAGCTGGTTCTTTTTTGGGAAGAGAGAGGGAATAATTGTTTTCTATTTGCTCTCTTTGTGCCACTCATGATTTTATAGATCTTATCATGGTTTCATTATTTCAGCCTTCTCTTTCCAGCCTGAAGGGCATTACGCTGCTTAGTCTTCATGTGGACTCTTGAGGTTATTTTTGGTGCCTTTGTAAGTGTATTCCCATTCCAGCTCTGTCGTAGAGCTGATGTCCATGCAGATTTTGCACGGGTATAGACAAGAACTTTAGCTTAGTATATTAAGTTCACATTCCCTTGGCCACACCAGTGGAAAGCACTTGTGTATTGATTTACTGATTTCGTGTTTCCTTTTGCAGGGCACTGATACCCTTCAATCAGCAATCCAACCAGAAATGCAGATAGAACACGGAGCCATCCAAATTCAATAGAATTGTGCAAAGCTGTGTCAACCGAGACGTCAGTGAATCGCAGTCAGAAGTTAAGTGCTGTAGTCTTCGTATAACAACAAGACCATGGAAATGCCTGTTAGACTAATGGTCACACCTCAAACATCTCCTGCAAATAGCAGAGTTCTGATGATCTGGTTGTCCTCACCTGGAATAAATCAGACCCATTTACTTAAATTGGAGCTACATCACTACATCAATTGAGGATCTGGCCTTCAGAAAAAATAAATGGCCTGCCCTTAGGTACACTTAAAGAGGAAAAGAAATCTAATGAATCAAAACCGTGAGACTAAATTAATGTTTCATCCTGTTCATTTCTTCTGTGAAATACGCCATTTGAATGTCTGCAGATATCTTAGGAAGTGTATTGCTGCTTTGCAATACTTGCTTTACCACATATAGAAGATCAAGAGCTCAAATATTTTTCACTGTTTAAACAGCTTTTTTTTTATTTGCTATGGTGTTTATAACAAAAATGGAAAATATTTAAAAAAAGAAAAATCCCATAACTGCAAGTATTAGCCTTTTGCTGGTGTTTTCTGTTCAGTGTAATGAAAACTGTATTTGCAGAAGACTAACAATTTTGTTTGTACTGTTGCTTAACTACTTTTCTAGGGGAAAATGCTTTTAAATGCTGTAATTATGCATTTCTAATGAAAAATAAATGTGTATTTATGAATAGTGCAGCTCTACATTGCTCTCTGCCTTAGGAACGAATATAGTTTGACTGGACTGTGCTGTAAGAGTGTAGTTCTGGAGTATTCGAAGACACATGCTCTCTGGCAAGCTCTGCTGTCAAACTGAGAAGTAAGATTAAGTTTATAAGGAAGTTATCAATCTTAAATCATGTTATCTAAATTTTCAGTGCAAGAGGAACGCAGCTTTTGAGTCTGCAAATCCTATTTTATACAATGAATTTATGAAATAATTATTTAAAAATGTGAACAATTCTTCTGAGCGCTCTCCTTTTTAGTTCCTTTTTACCTCCTTTGTCACTTGTGGCAATACCTCAGTTTGAGATTCATCCATAAAAAGCTGGGCTGCAAAAGTCAATCTAACCTATCTTGTAATCCAACCTGCAGCAGCAAGGTGTAATCCTCTCTCCACTGCAACTTGTGGGAAATTTGATACCGATTTCAAGAAAGCTACATTTTCATATTTGCTAAGCTTGAGTGCAAAGGATATATGTCTGCTCTAACCTGATGATCTTAATGGTGCACATTGCAGAAAAATAGAGAGTTTACTGGGGGAGGTGTTGCTTTGTATTTATTTTTCAGCTGACTTGCTATATGGTTATTGTCACTATATGGCTCATAATGCATTTAATGTGTTAATGAATGGGCATAGCCACAAATTCTACATGGTTGAATTCAGGGTAACTTTTTTTTTAAATGAAAGGAAGGGTTAAGCACACCCAATTTCTGGGAATGTTGTCCCTGGTAAGTATTATGCTTTATGTAGATTCCTACTTCTCTTTAGGCTGTTTCTTCACACACAAGTCAATGCAAACTGAACCACAGCTTATTGAATACAATGTTCGCAACAGGCCAAGAATTTGGCTACTCTTCAGTTTCTTTTTTTAATAGTGTTTCTCAGACTGGGCGATGTTTGAAGAGCTTGGCATCCAAATAGAAGCCTAAAAATAAAGCAAGGCCTGTACATTTTAGCATGGCTGTTTAATAATAATTTATCACTTGGAAATGACAGTGAGAAAGTTGGGATGGCAAAGCCCCTGCATGCTACCACATACCACTCTCTGGCTATTTTCATATTGGCCACAGTGGCTTTCTTGTCATCTTCAGAAAGTTTTACTCTTACCCAGCTTACCTTCTGCATCCTGGGCATCTTCTGCTTTCAAGGGGAGCACACATGCGTTTAAATGGTAGGGTGTCTGTCTTTGTTTTATGGTGCAATTAAGAATTCTGTTCTCTTTGCATTTTTCAGCTCAGGCACAAGATGAAGTTGAGTTCAGGAGAGGTTTCCTTTAGCCACTAGACTGCTGCATGCTCAAGGCTCTTCTGCTAAAAGTGATTGTAAAGGCATATCAAGCAGTGAAGTAGCATTCACTAGATTTAAAGAGAATGAGATCTACTTCACCAGTGTGGGATGGAGAGTGTGCAAGTCAATTGAAATAGGTAAGGAGAGCAGCCTAGTAAGATCCTCCACTGCACTCAGATGTTAAGACTGCGTGTTCCTCAAAATGTGAATTTTTCTTAGTCTTATGTCAATGTTTACATTAGTCTAAGCTGTGTCACACTATGTTTATACTTCAAAGAAAAGAGACTTCAACGTTGAGCCAGGTATTCCTATGAGTAATCCCTGTCCCTGATTTTATGTCCTGGCCCAGGGCGGAAATGTCTTTTCAGGGATGTTTTATGTGTTTTCTAGACATCACAGGCTATGTCACATACAAATAAGTAATTCCCTAGAAGAGTAGTTCAGGAATTAATTCCCTTCTAGGAAATGCTTGTGACTGTGAAGAGTGTGTGTGGTTCTGTGCAAGTGTGAAGATATGTTCATGCAGAGATTATCGTAACAATAACATATCGACATAACAGTAAGAAATCCTAGTATTATTATAAGATAATTCAAAGAATTAAAATCTTGCAGGGGTACTGAGGGTTTTGCCTGGGTCTCTGTTCAGGTAGGTTGATGTTTTTTCACCATGGATGTAGTTCTGCCTTTGAAGACTGACTGTTTTCAGTAGGTCAGCTAGAAGTGAGTTCTCACTATGTCTCCTTCTGTTATTCACAGCCTCTGCCTTTTTAATAATAAGGTTCTTTTTCCTCAGCAAACCTTATAACATCCTCATTTTTAACTGTTCTCTTTCTCCTCGTGCTGCTTTTGTCCGAGAGGCAGAGATTGAGAGCATATAACCGAGAGTCTTCAGGGGGACATTTCTTGTACGGTTAGACTAGCATCAGCTGCATATTTTATTTGTAATTCATCTTGTGACCTGCAGGATACTGTTTTAATGGGTTTGATTTTGTTTTGTGTAATAATGTTTAGGCAGGCAGGCTTTGGGGAGGAGAGCCTCTGGTTACGCTACTTGGCCCCATTGGTTATTTTTGATACTAAGTTCGCTATAGCCGGGACCTCACCATTTATCTTGATGTTGTGCTCAATTCTTGACATGTAGTTACGGCTGCCCGGGCAGGATGGTACCTTTATAATGACCTTTCAGATAGTTTAATCTTGAATCCCACCTGAAAGAGCATCCACCTCATGAATTCTTAAGGGCTTCTATTGTCCTGATGTAAAAACTAATCAAAATGTTATTGTGTGGTGGATTGTACAACTAGAAATTGGTCTAAAAAACCTGAAGGATGTGGGTTATTTCTTTTCTGCTTTGCTTTTTCTTTCTTTCATTTGTTTTTAGTTTTACATATTTCTGTCTTGCAAAACAAAACTATAAAAACGAGCACCCTTCTGTGACCCAAATAAACTGGAATGCCTTCATTAGCTGCATTTTTAGGCGTTTCAGTATTGACAGTTTGCCTATAAAGCAAGGAATGCTGGTCAAAGTGTTGCTCTAGTGCTTGTCTCCATCATGGAGATCCTGGCATGCATACGGGTATGCTCTGGTGGCCCTGGACTTTATTATCCGCTTCACAGAACTGCTGTGGAATTTCATGTTAGAGTGAGAAAGCCAATATCTAAAAAAACTCCCAAAATCACTGTAGAATCTCACTCCGCACAAACTTCTGTTGGCAATCAGTATTCCTCCAGAATTCCTAATTATCTAAGTACCGAAAATTTAGAGCCATAACTATAATTCAGCAAAAACTGTTTCCTATTATCAGAAATAAGAATGTTCCTTTCATTCACTGCAATCCCAAAGCACTTCTATAAGCTTTGCTGATTTAGGTGAGTACTCGACAGTCAAATCTCATTTCCTTGAATGAAGCCTGGAATAAAAAAGTCATTCAGTTAGAGTGGTGTTTGGAGTAAACTGAGATTGCTTTTTTTAATGCGCTGGTACAAGTGGACATATTTGGTTTCTCTGCTAAACGAGGTTTGACATATTTAGAGGTTGTTTTAGACCCCGCAAAAATAGGAGTAACTAACCGTGCAGCAAGCGGAGGCAAGAGGAGTCGTGCAGAGCTGAAGTTAGAGCTGAAGTGTGTGGGATGCGATTGCCCACGTGCAGTTTGGCCAGGGCGAGGGGTTAACACTCCTCTTTCGAAAGATGCCAGGGAATTTTTAATCAAGTCTTGTTCTTTAGCTTGATAATTTGGATGGAACTGGATGAAAACCTATTCTTCCTCATCTTCCGCTTCACATGCGAAGTTTAGTTCAAGAGCAAATGTCTCCTTGTTTGACTTCCCTGCCTTTCTTTAAATTTATGTGAATTCTGCTTTGGAAAGCTTTCTCACATTTGTTTCTTATTCAATTTTTTAAAGTATACATTTTGCAAAGGAAAAATGTCCTCTAAAGATATTGAATGAAATGTTACTGGTTTTAGGCAGAAAATTACGTTCTTAGGCTTTTGTTCATCAGCATGGATTTATTTAATTGACTGGTAGACTGGAAAAAGTTCTGTTCTTCTGGTCCCTCAGGTTAATCAGTGTTTTTGAATGTTTAAGTAAACTGTCCAGTTTCATCTCTGCCCATCAGCTTGGGCTGAGCGTGAGTTAATATATGTTATATAATCTTCCAGTAAATATTTTATTTCAGATGTTTCATACTAGTTAAAGGAAAGTTAATCTGGTTGTGAAACAGATCAGCAAAAGCCTGGATGGAAAGCTGAGCTTAGCCGGACATCTCTCCATGCTATGCTGTGATGCCAGCTGTAAGGACAGACTGTTCATTGTCCCTCATTGTGCCACAATCTGGACATTTATGGTATTTGATCTGAAAACAATAAATATCCCTGTTTTCCACACTGATTCCCTGCTTTTCTTAAGGAATCTTTGGGACTTCTGTTTTCAAGATGCACTGGGGTTTGCTTGTCAAACTCTTGAGTGCATTATATCAGGATC